ACCGTGGACACATTCCTGCCTGGAACGACACTCCTGACTTTGGGCCGCCAAAGCCAGTATCCCGCCGTGGCACTCCTCTCAATACTGTAGGCTCACCGTTCCCCAACCAGCAGGTAGGGTATGGCGCGCCACCTCAGGGTCCACCTCAGGGAAGGCCAACGCCACCACCTCCACCAAAGGGACCTCCTCAGGGGCCTCCTCGTGTGACGTCTCCGCCTCAGTCGAGTGCTTCACCTTCTGCACCGAACCCCTACGCTCCAGTGCAACCCGCCGGCTTCGCCCCACCACAGCAGCCACCTCTCCCACGTGGAACATCGCCGTACGCTCCGCCGACATCAGCAGCACCGGCCTCAAACCGGTATGCCCCCGCTCCTGGCTCGCAGCCATCCCCTGCTCCAACATACGGAGGCATGCCCCCGCCCCGAAACATTGCGCCCCCACCTACGCAATTCACACCTGCGGCGTCGCCCTATGCTCCGTCGCCGGCTCAGCAAGCGCCTCCAGCAGCTACACCACCGCCACCTAGAGGTCCGCCGCAAGGTCCGCCTCGCACTGGACCCCCACCAGGCGGCCCTCCTCAGGGTGGACCACCCAGGCCAGACTCCCGCTCCAGTCCAGCTCCGCCACCAGCCGCTGCACCAGCAGCAGCTAAGCACCGTAAGTCACTTCTTATTCATTGATATTTGCCATTGCTAACCGCAAACAGCTCGTGGCGATCGATCGCACATCCCCGCTGGTTCTCAGCCCATCTTTGATATACTGAACGCGGACATGCAACGCGTCAAGGCAAAGGCACCAGAGAAGTTCAAGGCGCACGTCATTGACACCGAGAAACGCCTCAACATTCTGTTCGATCACCTCAATAACGATGATGTCAAGCCAGATACTGTTCAGCAGTTGAATGAATTGGCAAATAACATTCAAGCACGGCAGTATGACCAGGCGGGTGTAATCTTCTCAGACATCATGACGAACAAGACCGATGAGGGCAGTGACTGGATTGTAAGTGCCACTCTTCGATATGCGCGGCACCTTCACTAATCAACGTCCAGGTTGGCATCAAGAGGTTGTTGCAATTCAGCAAGTCTACTCCTCAGTAGATAATGACACTATAGACATGAGTAACGGTCGGAAAGTGAGACGGCTGGCTTTACTACAGTTGCTCATGCTGTAGACGTACAAGCAAACATATCCACAACTTTGGGCATGATCCCCAAGATTTCAAATCATAGTGCATCGAGAAGTCATACTGATAGAATGTGATCGCTGGGTCATACATCCTGAGAGACCGAAGATAGTAGACCAAACAGTCTATAGCTTGGTGAACCTTCCTGTCTACAAAATATGGTGCAGGAAACACCAGCCCCTGTCGAGATCATGTCTGCCATTGAGAACAATGACTTCAGGTACAGCTCCCTATACAGTAATGCCAGCACTGAAGCTCGAGACGGAGAACTTAGCGGGTCCGCCAGTGAAAGCCTCAGTACCGATCTGATAAACTGCTACGTATCAGCACTGTCTCGACATACTTGATCAATCATGTCACTCACCAATCAAATTCTGCGAACTCGCCGGGTACTGCTGGTTGCTAACCAGATAGTTGAAGAACAATTTGACATCGGCCCTGAAGCTGGTGATATCATTGCTGCCAGATCTCACAAAGCTGTACACCTTCATTGATCCGTTGTAACCGAAGTAAAGATCGAAGTTGTATCCTGCGATCGTGACTGTGGCGATCGGAGATCCGGATTGCGAAATTGGCCATACCCCACCGAGGCGGCCGAGCCTGCGTTGTGTTATCAGCTTTGACGGGTCCCATCGTTTTGGGGTTGAATGCGTACCAGATCATGAGTTCGTAGTCGCCGCTGCTGTTGACGTGATTCGGATCTTGCGCTGTGAAGATATCGTATGCCACATTCGCGCGTACGTTGTTGGTGGTGTTATAGTTCCAGTCAATTTGTGTAGACATCGTCTTGATATTCGCAATCGTGTTGCCCTTGGACACAATGCGGCCGGCGTAGACATAGCTCTTCACGTTGTTCTCGGCCCCCTGCCATGTCCAGGTCGAGCTCCACTTGATACCGGATCCGGAGCTGGAGCTGCCTTCGTAGTATGTGCACTGTGAGCCTGAGGAGGCTGCGTCTTTGCCCCACAGGTTGTTGAGGATTTCGTAGCCCGCGGTGGAGTAGTAGGCGTATTGCGTGCAGAGGCTGACGGTTTCAAGGACGGTGGTTGGGGTGCGGGTTGTTGGAGTGCTGCGTTGTAAGAGCGCGGAGGGGGGTGCTGTGGGTGTGAGGTTTTGTAGGAGTGGTGGTGGAGTAGTTGGGGATGTACCTTCTGCAGTTGGGGCTGCGAGAGCGACGGAGAGGAATCCTACGTATAGCGCGGTGAAGATCTTCATGGTGAAGTGGCGGGAATTGAAAACGCGAGGTGTTGATGCTTTGAACGCTCTTGAAGACCTGTTGCAGGAAACTGGGTTCCTGCGACTACTCTTATATATTGAGAAAGCTGGTTATGAATACAAATAATCCACTCTGGAATACAACAACTTCGAGGCAGATTACTGCCTTTACCCATAAACTTTCCCCTCACCCATAGATTAGCTGTCATCGTGTGTTTACACTTTCGAGTATGCACTCCACCAAAAGTACCCTATATGTGGGTTGATAAGTAGATCAATATCCGATACCTTGGAAGTGAGGAGCAGGCGCAATCTGCATGAACACGAAGTTTAATCAACACAAAACATCGTGCATTTCTATCGGAACCACGTCCCGCACTACAAGGCGTGAGCCAGAGACTTTCTGCCCTCCTTTGTCTATTCCCATCGCGAGTATATGTACATTGCGCCCTTATGTAAAAATATTAAACTGGACTGTGTTGCTTCTACAGCGAATCACTATACATGGTCCGTGTAGCAGGGATTATACGTCAACTGCAATGTCAGAGGCACCTTTATTGCATGATTGACCTACCATCTACGCTGAATAGCCAGCTGCGATCAAGACCAAGGAGTTCCATGACTCTGTCCTGTAACAGACCATTAGCTTCTCCATATCCTTCGTAGTGCGTCGCCATAGCCACGCCTTTAGCTCCGAGCTGTGCAAGTCTGTATGCTACATCATCAAATTTGCTAAAGTCCATTTCTAGATGATGGTCAGCAGATGTTCGATGCCCACTGGGCTACATGAGTTCCACGTACCAGAGTCCCAGTAGTCAAAGCCCTTCGTGTAGTCAAAATCGATCCGTCCGTCTTCGCGAAACGCTCTCTGAACATCCCAGAAGTTCACTGGATGTGTCAATACACTATCCAAGAACATGTTGCCGTAATGGTAGTAGACATGCACACTCCGTAAACGGCTACTCGCTGAATTCAATAACCCCAAGAAGAGTTCGTCGCAATTGACCTCCAGCACGCCGTCAAACCTCACCCTCAACTCCTCGCAACTATCCGGCAAAAAGTCTTTAGCTGGCGTCCACCACGCCTGCGCATCCACACCATCCTCGAACCTGAACACCCCACCATCCAACAGCCGCCCCCGCGGATGCCCAAAGAGATTCGAGAACGTGGTATCCAGACTCTTCAACCCCTTAAACTCCCCAAATCCATGCAAGCTGGCCCACTCGTCCCCTCCATCTGCGTCCAGCTGCCACACCAGATCAGGATCGAGTCTGAGGTGTTGCAGCGAGTGTTTGTGCGCGGCTAGAGCCTGGAGTATGTTGACACACCAGCGCCGCGATTCAGAGAAGATGTAGAGGGGTGATTCTACACCGGTTACTGAGAAGGTTTGTAGGGCGGTGCAGCGCTGTAGCATGCTGACTGTGTGGGCGGTGGGGATGTTGATGTTCTCGAGGACAAGAGATGTCACGGTGGATTGTGAATGTGGAGTGTTGATTCTCGGACTGGGGTCGGGGTAGGTGTTTAGGTCTTCCCAGCCGCCGCCGTTACGAAGCCAGTGGAGGAAGGCGTGGTCGAGGAGGTTGATAAGATGGAGCGAGCGGAGAGCTGGGAGAGCGAAGAGATGCATCAGAGAGTATGGATTGGAGTATTGTAGGTTGAGCGTGAGACTGTGTAGGGTTTGGTAAGGGAAGGCTTTGACATTGCTGCCAAGGATTTGTGAAGAATATGCAAGGCCTGTGTTGGTGAGCGGAAGAAGCCATGGTGGCGGCTCACTCAGATCGTCGAAGCGTCGCTCTATCCGTTCAGCGCCCCTCTCCATAGTCATGCTCTCAAGGTTGGTGGCACGCAGGACCAAGATCGCGAGTTCGAGCTCGTTGCGAGTGGCAACATTGTTTTGCGCCTCCTTCGTCCACGTCGAACGATATGGCTCTGATAGTCCAGATATTTGAGCAATAAGCTGCTTGCGTGTGCTTGGTCGTAATGGAGTGTAGTGCGCGTTTGCCAGGATGTTAATATGCTTCAAATGATCGTATAGTTCCTCGCAACGGGAAAGATGACGAAGAAAACACCCCCTTGGCTGCTCGAGCGGAGACTCATATCGAGCATATAAGTACTGGGTGGAAATGGCGTTGAGTGCACGACACGATCTTGCAAGGCCAGCGAAAGCAAGGTATGTTGCTGATGTCGTGCCAAATTCGGGATCCAGAATGTAGGTGAGAATGTCGTGAAGCAATTCGTTTGGCAAAGTGTTAAGACCTGGCATTTTAACGAGTGTAGTGTATAGATTTTTTAGCAGCCATTATTCGTTGTGCAGGCAGGGCGTTAAGGCGTGGCTGTGTATATACTATTTCCAACCGGTGAACCAACACGTCCTAGTAGCGAAAACTGTGCTTAGTCGTTGAACCGCATCTTCAAACAACAAGCAAGATTTAATGACAGCAGGATACCCACTGTAAGGTTCGATCAAGTTTGAAACCTAGAACTAAGGGTTCACCTGTTCTCCGAGGGTTCATTGTAAGCGAGGACGCACATTCGTGCGCAGCAATTTGAAAAGTTGGGTTATAAACGACTTTTTCCTCCGAGTTTTCATCTCAACAACGGTTCGATGGTGTAGTTGGTTATCACGTCAGTCTAACATCCCAGTTGGTTCACTGAAGGTCTCCAGTTCAAGTCTGGGTCGAATCATTTTTTGCGGATCTGTGCAGATCTCGCTTTTGCACGTTCGTGCGGACGTTCCCACTCTCCTGCCCCACCTCCTGCTTGCTACGTAATCTTGGAGGCGCGCAGTGATCTTTTTGTTGTCCGAGATACCAGGGCATAGCCTGCTATTCGATTGTGGATCGTCTTCATAGTTATAGGTGTGCATATGAAAGAAGAATATCGATGGAGACATAGCGAGCAGATAGGTTTTTTTAGAGTGGTAGAGGTATCTAAGGTAGGTATACACATGAACGTATGCTGAAGTTCAGACCAGGTCTGGACAGAGAACTTGGACAGGGCGGGTGTAGGAGTGCACTGCTTGACTGACAGGGAGTCCGAATACCAGAAACGCTGCGCAGCCGAGAAATCCTTGCTGACACTGGCTCGAACGATTATCCTACGGTTTGGCGGGTCGGTCTTCTCTCCAGATATGTTAGCCATTCATTGAACTCCACCCACTCCTCTGCACGCTGTTGTAATAATCGCGATGATGGGCCGTTGACTTCATTGCGAGGAGAAGCGCGTTGTCCGGTGCAGCCTGGCGGAGTAAGCTTCGATGCCGAAGAAAAGACCAGGTATCATACGTACATTTGAACGTTTGTGTGACCCAACTTCGAATGGCTTTCGAAGCGAGACCGAATCCGAACAGTAGGACAGCTACCAAAATACTAACAAGACCCAGGATGGCTTCATTGGACCAAGTTGTGTTGTTCGACGAAGTATCACTGGCGCTTAGGGGCATAGGAAGCGCATCGGTACAGCAGGTGAGTACCGACAGGATTATGCTATACAAAGGCCGAAACGCCATCCTGGGGCAGAACTGGTGCACTGTCGGCCCACAAACAATACAAAGTTAGAGGCAGCAAAAGAGTGGCTGAAGAGATTGAAGAAGTCGTCTGAGTTCTAGGAACGTGTTGATGGGAAATGTAGAGAAATCCTGTTGTTTATACACAACGTATGTCGTGTTGGTGGTGCCGGCCTGACAGCCGTGCATGCCTGGTACCTACGCAAGCATGCTGACAGCGCTAACGACGCGCTTCTCCGCTGGAAGCTCTGCAAACCATCGCTAGCTGAAGGATGGTTGCATACCCGCGTGGCTGGTGCTGCAGCCTTGCGGGTACTCATCATACTTTTGCGTCACATCCATCAACCCCGCTGGTGTTTGGGCTCGATTTACCTCACTTATATCCCCACGAAATCCATAGTCACCTAAGTAATCTAAAATTCGGTATTTAAAGTCAAATTCCCTCTAATAGGGTAATGCGTATGAGGAGAGCACATTGGCATATCAGCACAGTGAAGAGGATGCGGCAGTAGCCACTGGGATTTGTATTGCTGGAGTGTACGAGAGTCCATCGTGCTTCTGACCAGGAAATTTCCCACAACAACGGACAGTCTGACAGTGGAAGGCAGATTCAACTAAGGGTCCCGCACGCCAGATGCATCAACCTCAATCCGGTTGGATAGCACAGTAGCCGCTTCACCGCCATAGCTCGCTGCTACAAGCGAGCCACGCATCAATGTGCAAAGCCTCTAACTGATGTGCAGGAAACCAGGCTCAGCATCATGCACCTGGGTCTGCGATGGATAGAGCCTAGCATCATGCACCTGGGTCTGCGATGGATAGAGCCTAGCGTCATGCACCTGGGTCTGCGATGAATAGAGCCTAGCGTCATATATCTGGGTCTGTGATAGCATGATGTACCTTGGCGACGATCAGGCTTCCTACTAGACATGCGCATTCTGTGCATCAGAGAGTTTGTACCTACGGACGAAAGGCACGAAAGCTGAGGAGAAGGATACAGCTCAGCGGCTGTTTAAAATTTTCCACAGTGGCCTCGCTTGATTGATTTGCAAAGCCCGGCCTTTGAAGAGGCTGTGAGGAGATTGCTAGAATGTGGTCGAAATTGTCGCCCTCACAGCTATGACTTGCGCTTGTGTGGCCTTGGTCTTACCGGGCGGTATGCCCTCTTGTCACGACCCCTGGCGGGAAGCTCACTATATCTCTGGTTACACCTCGAGACTACTCCATAGCAGCTACTGCATCCCGAACAAGACTTCGTTCAAGTTCTTGTTCGACGTGCGTTCCCGCTATCCGGTCACACTTGCAACACTTACATAGCAACACTTACATAACTTCCGCCCTCAGTAGAAGCATGTCTTTGTCGATGCATTCTAAGTGGGACGAAAAGCATCAGCTACTCTCAAATCGTATTCTCAGCCTACGCGATGCTCTCCGTATCGCTCAGTACGTCTGTCCGATTGTTTTGTGGTCCTTATCCTTCGTCGACTTCGCATATCGCAATATAGCAGCATGGAATCCAATCCGAACTCGGTCAGACCTGTCAGTCCAGGTCCTGTTGGCAGATCACTGCCCGCGATAGATCCCACTCGCAAGTTCATCAAAAGCACAGCCCGTGACGACATCACCCAGGCGCAGAGAAAGGCCTTCAGATTGGTCTCTTCGGCTGTGGTACTGACGTTTCTGGGAAACTTGGTGCTGGTCACTGCTCAAAAATGGACTGAGAAGTGTCAGAGCTGGCAGTGTGGACAGTCGGTGTGGGTATGTTCCCAAGTTTCAATGTAACGAGGCGGCAATTTTACCTGACCGGCGCCCCAGATCTATCTTGCAGGCTCATGCTCGGCCTACTGCATATCCCTCTGGCTCCTCAAATCGAAGCCGTCCCCAACCGCCGCTCACGTATCGACATAGTCCGTAGGCTCTGTCCTTAAGATCAGTCTCATCGCCGTCTCCCTCGCTCTCTACGAGCACACCCGCTGCCAGCCAACCAACGGCCATCGATTGTGCCTTAGTATGACAAAATGGAAGGCTAGCGAGATAGCTTTTGGCATTCTGCGCATCATTCTGCTGCTTGTCCTTCTTGGGTTATACCTCTTATCTGTGGTTCTGCCCCCAGTCAGGAAGAGTTCAGGGGCGGGAAGTCCCAGCGAGACACACGTCAGACGCGATTGGGGATCGTTCGGAGGCTCGGGATAACACCAGGCCCAGCCCAACATCGTAGCTCGTTCCTGATGGGCATGGCCAGCGTCCTCGCTCTGGATTTGCAATTTACAACGACAGACCGGAAGGCTTGGCTGTGACAAGTTTGGACATGGCCTCGCTGCAGCGACTTGGCCTGACGACATGCCTATTTCGAAAGCTGCGACTCGTTAGCAAGAGTTTGCGCGAGCATTGTCTACGGAAGTCAAGGTCGGAAGAGACTACGTGGAGAACTGCCAAACACCAGGATTGATGCAGTTGAACAGCAGCATATAGATTCCGAGGCATGCTGCCCCGTCAAACTACATCAGATGTCGCCTAGCTGCCCAGTATTCGCAGCAACACAAATGGTATCTATACCGCTCTTTACAAGCACCAGCTCAGTCAACTCGCCTCTTCGCTCCTGCATCAACTCATGAAATACCATCTATACTACCCACATGCCGCACTTCGACCACCACCTGTCCTTGAAAGCCTCTATTGTCATGAAAGGTACACTACCACCACTCATCTCGATCACTTCGTCGGGCAGACTCCCTCAGGCATCTACATTGGCTCCACCATGCTTTGAAAGCAGCCCATTCTCCCGCGCACACTGTGCTAGTCAGACGATGCGCTTTACCAACATACGCGTTACCAGCGATATACAACTTACATCTGACGTGACCGCCTATTTGTCTTCGAATATTTGGCCAGGCAAGGCCTAACGCGAAGATGAAAATAGCCACCAAGACACCGACGAGAGCTAAGATAGCTTCTTTGGACCAGCCTGAAGTATTTGGTGGGGGCTGACTGGCTGCAGGGGTTGCGGGGAGTGGAAGCGCATTGGTGTGGTAAGCGAGCACCGCTAGGATGAGGAGGTTGTGCAAAAGGTATGACGGGATGCGGGAGGCAGGCATGTTGGCAGTGAACTCTGGCTTTGGGGGAAGGCGGCTCCTTTGCTCTCTTGCTGGTCAAGGGAAAGTAAGATGATATATCCGAACTGAGTTTCTTGAGATACGCTATGGATCAAGTGAAGAACCCGACACTGCGTTCGCATCTCTAAAGTATATCATCGCTCATGTGGGAGCGGTGAACTTATAAACTGAGGATGACCTGTGAGCTCAGGATGTGGCAGGGGCGAACACAGCCCTGTCGTCATGAGAAGGAGACCCTGAGCTAGCAATACCGACACTGGTGTTGCACAGCCCTCTGTAAGAATCTGTAAAGAAGCCAATCAGAAGCTCGCATCATTGCCATAAGTGGCTAGAGGTTATCTTTTCTACTGTGCTGCCGCTCCTTGGATGAGGGATGAGCCCGACACAGTGGGTCCCTGAAACGGGCACGCGGCAGCCAAGTAAACGATCCAAAAGGAACTGCGATCGATAGATAGCCAGACGCCGAGACCTCAACCCGACAAACCAGCGAGCATTGCAGTATTCGCTTCCCACATCTACCCATACGACCCCTCCTCTACCGGTCGAACACCAACGACTAGTTGTCCCAGCAAACCTTGAGAGCTACACAAAGTCAGTATTGTATAATTATATCACAATTAGCTGGGTTGGTAGCTTACCACAAGGGAATGGGAAATACATATCCCAGTTTTCAGTCAGGTACGCGTGGTACGGGTACTTCTCATCCGGCGACATCTTCTTCGCAACCTTGATCACCTTACCCTGATCACCCAGGGCAGGCCTCAGGTTCTTCAGCTTCGCAACCTCCTTCAACATGCATGTCAGGGTGACCTTAGCCATTGGCAGTCCCAAGCACTGGTGCGGTCCGTAGCCGAGGTGGATGTAGCTGTCCATCGGCCTGTTGAGATCGACCTCATCGGGATTAGGGAAGACAGTAGGATCGTGCGATGCAGCGCGCAGATTGACAAAGACCTTGTCGCCAGCCTTGAGATTGAGTGTGCGGCCGGAGTCGGTGATGGTAGTATCCTTAGCGGTCTGGCGAATGACTGCTGTCTCGCCTGCAAGACGCGAACCCTCGAGCACGTAGC